AGAATACTATGAAAAACCATATGCCCACAAATTGGATAACCTAGAAGAAACGGATAAGTTCTTAGACTCACACAACCCCCAAAACTAAATCAAGAAGAAATAGAGAATCTGAATAGACCAATCACAAGAGATTGAAATAGTAATCAAAAACCTCCCAAAAAACCAAAAGTAGAGGACCAAATGGTTTCTCTAGAGAATTCTACCAAAGATTCAAAGAAGATTTAATACCTATCCTTCTCAGAGTATTCCAAAAAACTGAAGAAGACAGAACACTTCCTAACTCATTCTATGAAACCAACATTACCCTTATACCAAAACCAGGCAAGGACAGCACAAAGAGGGAAAGTTACAGCCCAATATCGCTGATGAACATAGATGCAAAAATCCTCAACAAAATATTGGCAAACTGAATACAGCAATACATTTGAAGGATCATACACCGTGATCAAGTGGGATTTATACCACGGATGCAAAGATGGTTCAACATCCCCAAATCAATCAATGTGATATACCACATTAACAAAATGAGGAATAAGAATTATAAGATCATCCCACTAGATGAAGAGAAAGCCTTTGAGAAGATCCAACACCCATTTATGATAAAAACTCTAAATGAAATGAGTATAGAAGGAAATTACCTCAGCATAATAAAGCCCATATATGACAAACCCACAGCCAACATCATACTTAATGGTGAAAAACTAAAAGCTATCCCTCTGAGAACAGAAACAAGACAAGGGTGCCCCCTCTCGCCACCCCCATTCGACATAGTACTGGAAGCTTTGGCCAGACCATCAGGCAATAAAAAGAAATAAAAGGAATCCAAATTGGAAAGGAGGAAATGAAACTCTCACTGTTTGCAGATGACATGATTCTATATATAGAAAACCCTAAAGAATCCACCAAGGAACTATTAGCAATAATCAACAACTACAGCAAATTTGCGGGGTACAAAATCAACATACAAGAATCACTTGCATTTCTATACAATAACAACAAAACATCAGAAAAAGAAGTCACAAATACAATCCTATTTACAATCGCAACAAAAAGAATGAAATATCCACGAGTAAACTTAACCAAAGAGGTGAAAAACCTGTACACTGAAAATTATAAGACGTTATTGAAAGAAATTGAAAAAGATATAAAGAAATGGAAAGATATTCCATGCGCATGGGATTGGAAGAAAAAACATAGTTAAAATGTTCATATTGCCTAAAGCAATCTACAGATTCAGTACAATCCCTATGACATTTTTCATGGAAATAGAACAAAGAATCCTAACATTTATATGGAACAACAAAAGAACTTGCATAGCCAAAACAATCCTGAGAAAAAAGAACAAAGCTAGAGGCATCACAATCCCTGATTTAAAATATACGACAAAGCTATAGTAATAAAACAGCATGGTACTGGCACAAAAATAGACACACAGATCAATGGAACAGAATTGAAAGCCCAAATATAAACCAACACATCTACGGACAGCTAATCTTCAACAAAGGAGCCAAGAATATACAACGGAGAAAGGAAAGTCTCTTCAGTAAATGGTATTGGGAAAACTGGACAGTCACACGCAAAAGAATGAAAGTAGATCGTTATCTTGCACCATATACAAAAATTAACTCAAAATGGATTAAAGACTTGAATGTAAGACCTGAAACCATAAAGCTCCTAGAAGAAAATACAGGCAGTACACTCTTTAACATCAGTCTTAGCAACATCTTTTTCAATACTGGGTCTACTCAAGGAAGGATAACAAAAGAAAAAATAAACAAATGGGGCTACATCAGACTAAAAAGCTTCTGCATAGCAAAAGAAACCATCAATGAAATGAAAAGACAACACACCAACTGGAAGAAAATATTTGTAAATCATATATCCAACAAGGGGTTAATTTCCAAACTATATAAAGAACACCTACAACTGAACGATGAAAAAACAAACAACCTGATCAAAAACTGGGCAGAGGATATGAACAGACATTTTTTCAAAGAAGATACACAGATGGCCGACAGGCACATGAAAAGATGTTCAACATCACTAATTATTAGGGAAACGCAAATCAAAACTACCATGAGATATCACCTCACACCCCTCAGAATGGCTGTTATCAAAAAGACAAGAAATAACAAGTGTTGGAGAGAATGTGGAGAAAACAGAACCCTCATACACTGCTGGTGGGGATGCAAATTGGTGCAGCCACTATGGAAAACAGTACGGAGAGTTCTCAAAAAATTAAAAATACAAATACCATATGATCCGGCTATCCCACTACTGGGTATTTATCCAAAGAACTTGAAATTAACAATTCAAAGAGATTTATGCACCCCTATGTTCATTACAGCATTATTCACTATTCATTATTCTTTATTCCAAGATGTAGAAGCAACTCAAGTGCCCTTCTACAGATGAATGGAGGAAGATGTGATATATACATAGAATGGCATACTACTCAGCCATAAAAAAAGACAAAATCATCCCATTTGCAACAACGTGGATGAACCTTGATGGGATGATGTCAAGTGAAATAAGCCAGACAGAGAAAGATAAGCACTGCATGATTGCACTCATGTGTGGTAGATAAACAAACACAGGGATAAAAAGAACAGATTAGTGATTACCAGAGGGGAAGAGGATTGGGGGATGGGCATAAGGGGTGAAGGAGCACAGAAATGGGGTGACAAATAAAAATTAGACTATTGGTGGTGAGCATGATGCCATCTATACAGGAACTTTGTAAATAATGATGTACACCTGAAATTATACAATGTTTAAACCATTATGACCTCAATAAAATAACTGAAAAAAAAGACAAGGATGCCCACTCTCACCACTTTTATTCAACATAGTTCTGGAAGTCCTAGCCAGGACAATTAGGCAAGAAAAAAGAAATAAAATCCATCCAAATCAGAAAAGAAAAAATAAAACTGTAATTGCAGATGACATGATATTACATATAGAAAACCCTAAAAACTCCACCAAAAAGTTGTTAGAATAAACGAATTCAGTAAAGTTGCAGGACACAAAATAGAAAAATCAGTCGTGTTTCTATAAACTAACAATGAACTATCAGAAAGAGAAATTGAGAAAATAATCCCATTTATAATTGCATCAAAAAGAATAGATACCTAGGAATAAATTTAATCAAGGAGGTGAAAAACCTGTACACTGAAAACTATAGACACTAATGAAAGAAATTTAAGAAGGCATAAATAAATGGAAAAATATTCCATGCTCATGGATTGGAAGAATTAATGTTGTTAAAATGTTCATATTATATTACCCAAAACAATCTACAGATTCAATGCAATCCCTTACAAATTCCAGTGGCATTTTTCACAGAAATAGAAAAAGCAATCCTAAAATTCATACAGAACCACAAAGGGCCCTGAATAGCCAGAGCAGTTTGGAGAAAGAAGAACAAACCTGGAGGCATCACACTTTCTGATTTCAAACTATATTACAAAGCTATAACAATCAAAACAGTATGGTACTGGCATAAAAACAGACACACAGATCAACAGAACAGAATAGAGAGCCCAGAAACAAACCCATGCATATAGTCAATTAATTTCTGACAAAGGATCCAAGAATACACAACAAAGGAATGACAGTCTCTTCAATAAATGATGTTGGGAAAACTGGACAGCCACAGGCAAAAGAATAAAACCGAACCTCTATCTTCCATCATACACAAAAATCAACTGAAAATGGTTTAAAGACTTAAATATAAGACCTGAAACCATAAAACTCCTAGAAGAAAAAAATAAGGAGAAAGCTCCTCGACATCAGCCTTGGCAGTGAACACCAAAAGCAAAGGCAACAAAAGCAAAAATAAACAAGTGGGACTGCATCAAACTAAAAAGCTTCTGCACACAAGTGAAACAATAAACAAAACGAAAAGGCGACCTTGCGGCATTCACAAAATTAGCCTGAAATGGATCATAGACCTATACGTAAGTTAACTCCAAAAGAAAATATAGAAGACTTTGGAGTAGGAAAAAATTATTTCCATAGGATACAAAAAGCACAGATCATGAAAGAAAAAATTTGATAAACTGGACTTCATCAAATGTAAAAACTCCTGCAGGATTATGTGAAAACTCCCAAACGTGCCTTCCCTTCCCACACCTTCAGCTCTGTTGGGTTATTTGAGATTAACCCCCCCAGAAAGCCTAAGTTGCAGTCCTGGGAATTTGAGGTGAAATTTGAGGCTGACACATGCGCTGTTATACATGGTAATAAGTTATAAGGAAGTTTATAATACACGGCAAGAGCTGCTGTTTAACAGATCACTTTGAAAAGAATGAAGAATCCTTCTGGAATCTATGTAGTTGTCCACACTTATATTTATTGTCCTTACAGGTGAACGTGTCTCCTGGCAAGTCTTTGAGGTCTTCGCCACATCTTACAGCTCGAAAGAGGGACGTGGGGAGGAGGCAGGGGGCAGGAAAAGAGACCAGAAGAAAGATGGGAAGAAGAGAGGGAACAGAGGACAGAATGGAGGGGCGAATGGGTGCAACACAGCCCTTCCTGGCATCACCTGAGAGGCCAGTAGGGGATCCACAAGATAAGAGGGTAAAGATGAAAACCAGTGTTTTCTAAGGCCAGGGCTCCGGGCACATGGCCACGAGGTGGGGTTCTCCCAGCCCCCTGCCCACGGAGGACAAGCACCTCTCCCTGGTCCGTGGAGGGAGCACCACGAGGGACCCTTCTCTGCCGAGAGCCAGAACTCCTTGTGGACCTTGAGAAGGGAACTGTCTGCCTTCTTCCCACAGTGCCAGGAGCTCTGAAAGCCAATAAGACTCAGCAAATATTCGGACATGAAAACAGACAAGGTCCCTGCCCTCACAAAAGAAAGACAAATACATAAACCCACCAAGATAAAATTATAAACCAGCATAAGCACTACAGAGAAACAGAAGAGGATGTTTCTAATTTAAATTCACAGTGTTAGATGTTGTAAAAGGAGGGCCCTAGGAGAGACCCAAGCCTACCCTGCCCAGCTGGGGTTCAGCGCGGGCGCTCCTCTCCCTCCGCAGCCCCCTCAGCTGAGAGGTCAGGGCCAAGGCTCCGCCAGGCTGGCCTTCCTGACCGAGAGTCAGTCGGGGACAGATGCATCCCTCCCACACAGCGTGGTGAGATACCTGCAGCTAAAGGGACTTGGCGAGAGAAAGTCTGCTGGCTAGGGAATGTTATGTAAATATGTAAATAGCCTTCCCACTTCCTATCACCAAAAGAAAATGTGAAAACGAAAACTCAAGAATCCACTTAGCAAAAACAAAAATTTAAAATTCCCGCTCTTCTAAAGATAGCAGTAAGAAAATGAAAGAGCAAGCCACAGAGTGGGAGAAAATATTCACAATACATATATTTGAAAAAAGGCCTGTGTCCAGATAGGTTAAAAAAAAAAAACTCTCACAACCCAGTAATGACAATGCCCAATAAAAAATTAGCCAAAAATGTGAACAGATACTTCACTGACAAAGATTTATGTAAATGGCCAATAGGTACGTGAAAAAATACTCAACATCCTTGGTCATCAGGAAAGTGCAAATTCAAATCAAAATGCAGAGATACCACTACACACCCAATAGAACAGCTAATATTAGAGAGACTAACGATGGCAAACATTGGTGTGGATGTGGAGCAACTGGAACTCTCATGCATTGCTAACAGGGATGCAAAACGGCAAAAACACTTTGAAAAATAGTTTGGCATTTTCTTTAAAGATTACTCATTAGAACATGACTCAGCAATCCCACCCTTGGATACCCACGTAAGAGGGTGAAAGCACAGGTCCACACAAAACCTTAAACAAGCACTGTTCATGGCAGCTTTCCTCAGATTAGCTGAAAGCTGGAAACAATGCAAACGTCCACCCACAGATAAATGAGTAAGCAAATTGGGGTATAGACATACAACGGAAACTAGCGACAAAAAAATTAACACATGCAACCTGGATGAATCGCAAAAACATTATGCTGGGGGAGAAGATGGGCACAAAAAATACCGCGTGATTCTACGTAAAAGAAGCTCTAGAAATGGCAAACCTAACCTGTAGCGGCAGGAAGGAGACCAGTGGGCACAAGGCAGCACTGGGGGGAGGGAAGCGTTCTACATTTGATTGCGGTGCAGTGTGCACCTGGGTGTAAACACCTTTCAACATTCATGGAACTACACACAAAACAAGGATGCGTTTATTGTACGTATATTAGAAGTCAATAAAGTTGTTTTTTAAAAACCTCAGGCCTAGTGACTTAAAGCATGACACTACTGAAATAAGGAAGTCAGGAGAATTTTCCTGGTTAGGTAACATAAAGCAGAAAATTACCTACTGCCCTACCCTCTCCTGCCAGCTCCGCCCTGTGCTGGCATCTTCTCCCAGTGAGGCTCAGATTTATACTCTCAAACTGTCCAGACAGAGTAATGTCAATTCTGTACAATAGTCCTCAAAATATGTAAAGAAAGAGAAATTCTATGTCCTAACAAGTCCTAGACAATGGAACCAAAGTGCCTCAGCATTGCCCCCGACCAGATGCGCAGCCTTAAGTCAAGGAGGTGGCTTCACTGTGGTAACCCTTGGTCTCCTTATCTGCAAAAGTTGGGTAATGTCCCAGAGCCCTGGCAACTTTGAAGAGGGCAGCTTGCTGGGGTGGCGAGGCAGGAGCCGAGCCAAATGGGACTTTGAAGGGAGTTTCCGAAAAACAAAGTGCTTACCATTTCCGATGTTCTGTCCAGCTTGACTAGAGTTCTTAACTATAAGAAAAAGTTTAGGGGCCGGCCCGGTGACTCAGCGGTTAGGTGTGCACATTCTGCTTCTTGGCAGCCTGGGGTTCCCCGGTTTGGATCCCAGTGTGGACATGGCACCGCTTATCAAGCCACGCTGTGGTGTGCGTCCCATGTATAAAATAGAGGAAGATGGGCATGGATGAGCTCAGGGCCAGTCTTCCTCAGCAAAAAGAGGATTGGCAGTAGTTAGCTCAGGGCTAATCTTCCTCAAAAAAAATAGTTTAGTTTAATCAAGAAAATGGGCATGTAAGCCCTTTGCCAATTGTTACAGGCTAAGCAGTCATAAGGGCCTGGCATTTTGTTCCACTCCTGCATTTTCTCTCTCCTCCCATTTCCTCACCTGATCTTGACAGGACAGTGTCTCCCTGGGTGTGTGTTTGCATGGAGACAGGCATCAAGGTCCACCTTACCCAACAGGAAGTCCCTTTATTACAGGTCAAGGCCTTTTCTGGAATAATGTCAAGAATTGTGTAATGCAGCCTATGTCGGAATTAGCAGTTTGGAGCAGCTACAATCACACTGTATCGAGACATTTTGAAATTCAAGTTCAGGGCCCGGCCCCATGATGCAGCGGTTGTTCTCACGCTCCACTTCGGCAGCCCAGAGTTCACAGGTTCGGATCCCAGGTGAGGACCTACCCACCGCTTCTCAAGCCACACTGTGGCAGGCATCCCACATATAAAATAGAGGAAGATGGGCACAGATGTGAGCTCAGGGCTAATCTTCCTCAAAAAAAAGAATAAAGTTTAAAAGAAACAAAATAAACTAAAATTCAAGTTCATTCAGATCCACAAGCAGGAGTGGAACACTTTGTGGGGGAGGGCACACAGCAGGGGCCTGTCTCAACATACACTCATCTTCCCAGAAAGACAGTCCTGAGCTCAGCATTTCCCCAATGGCAGTCATGGCAATATACCATCATTACTTTGCCAGAATATTCTGCTATATTCACTTATCATCCAACTAATTTTCTTTAAATCAACTTCAAATTGGTTTATTATTTTCTAACTTAGCTCATTCTAAATAATAATAACCATGAAATCATGAGTGTGATATGTTCATAATACATTTTCCTAATTTAAAAAATTACACATATGTATGTGTATGTATACCTATATATAATATTCATCCATATAACCTTGAACATCGTCATGTCACGTACCACCAGAGTTCCACATACCACACCTTGGGAAACACCACTGAAGTCACTAGCGCGATCCAAGACCAGGCCTCCACGTTACAGTAACACTCGTCAGCTCAGAGCCCATTTTTTAAATAGAGCTTCCACTGGCAGTACTCAGTCCGGATTGTGGTCATTGCTTTGAGGGGCTTGTCTTGGTCAGCTCAGGCTGCCATAACAAAGTTCCACAGTCTGGGGGGCTTAAACAACAGACATTTATTTCTCACAGCTCCAGAGGCTGGAAAATCCAAGATCAAGCTGTCAGCGGGGTTGGTTTCTTCTGAGGCCCCTCTCCTTGGCCTGTAGATGCTGCCTTCTCGCTGTGTCCTCATCAGGTCTTTCCTCTGTGCGTGTTCACGTCCCAATCTCCTTTTCTTATAAGGACACCAGTCATACTGGAGCAGAGCCCATCCATACGACCTCAGTTAACTTTTACTACTTCTTTAAAGGCCAGATTTCCAAATACAGTCACATTCTAAGGTACTAGGGGTCAGGACTTCAATGTATGAATTTGGTGGGAGACAGAATCCGGCCCATAAAAGTGTTTAAGTGCAGGATGGATGAGAATGGTGACTTCGATATGGGGAATGGTCAGAAGAATCAGGCTGCAGGGAGGTTCAAAGGAAAAGTTAAACTTCAAAAATGAAATGAGAAGGAAAAGTAGCAACAAGTAAGGAACCGGCCTAAACGTCTGAAGACATCACTCATGGCCAAGAAGTATTCATGCATAGAAAGACTGAGGAGTTCCTAGAACACCCAAATCCAGTCAAAATAGCCCAAGAATTGTCTGGTTACAACTGGAACAAGGAAGGCATAGACAATGGACTCAATGGTCCTTGTCCAGAGACAGAGTTGGGGGGCATCTCTGGAGGCAAGGCAGAAACGCAGGCATCCGTGTGTCAGGCACCGTCCGGAAGCAGAGTGCGGGGTGGGGAGTGGTGACTTACCCAGGCACACACATGTCTGGAGCCACCTCAGAGTAGAGCCAGATGCATCAGGACACCCAGCCTGATGCGCTGACCACCAGGATGACACCCTGACTGCCCCTCCTACAAAGGTCCGCTGCCCAGAGGCGGGGGGCCGGGGATGTGGCCATCAGCAAGCACAGCTATCTTGTTACGTAATGTTTCTCATGTTTTACCCATTGGTCTCCTAAAAGCATTGCTGGCAGTGTAGTTATTAGGGCTGGCCCCAAACATTCCAGTTCTCTCCTTCCAAGAACCTGCTAGAATTGCATTTCCCCACTCCTTTGAAATTAGGTATGGCCATGTGACTTGCTTTAGCCAATGAGAAGTGAGTGGAAGTAACTCCAAGAGTGAACCCTAATATAAACTGTGGACTTTGGGTGGTAAAATGTGTCAATGTATGCTCATCAATTGTTAACATCTGGTGGGCGATGTTGATAACCAGGGAGGCTATGCATGAGTAGGGGCAGGAGGGATACGGAAAATCTCTGTACCTTCACTCAGTTTTGCCATGAACCTAAAACTGCTCTAAAAAAATAACCTATTTTTTTAAAAAGTGAGTGGCAGTAACATGGGTCTCCTCCAGGTGGAGGCCTGCGGAGAAAGCAAGGGATTTGCCGTGGTCCTCTTGCTTCCTCTGTAGCTGCTGAGACGGAGCCTCTATCAGCCTGGATCCCTGAGGGACAATGACAAGCAGAAGCCCTCTGCCAACCCACGTGGGACATGCAACACAAGCAAGAAATACCCTTCTTAGGTGAAGCCACTGAGATGTGGGCATTATTTGTTACCATGGCAGAACCAGCTCATCCTGACTGACACAGCTAGTGTAAGCCAGTCCCACGCAGTCTCCTCATCTCAAAGTGTACGGAAAATAAAAGCAGAATTTCTGAACCAACAAAGTTTAGAACCAGACCCTGAGACAAAGGGGCCAGTCTGGAGTGGCTCACCAGCTTTCCTTCCTCTCTTCAACTTGCAGCCTCACTATTTGAGGTCTATAATTTGGCTGGAGAAGAGCAGTTAACTCCGATAGAAAGTCCACAATCTGTATCTCCCCACACAAACCAGCTGTCTATGGGCCATATCCAACCTACAGACGTATTCATTTAGCAGTGCTTAAAATTTTTAATTAATCAAAATTGGAAGATTTTACATGAAAATCCTCCCTTGGGATTTCTAGCTGCTCAGAAGATATTAGAATATCTAGCCCCCTTGGTCCTGCATTCTCAGATTACTTGAAGCAGAATCAGAGCTGCCCCCTTCACCTGG